TCAGGAAGGCCCCAAACCCTTTCTGCTTCTGCCCATTGCAGGTGCCACTACTGCTATGGGCCTGACCATCTCCTCCCTCTTCTCCCGACTCTTCTGCGAGAAGCATATGCTCATTTTGATGGTCAGTTGGATGCTGCTGGCAAGACAGCCATTCTGTACAAACTGAAGTTAGGAGAGATTGTTACCAGCATTCCTACCATTGGTTTTAATGTGGGAACAGTAGAATACAAGAACGTGCTTCACAGTGTGGGATGCTGGTCAAGATAGAATAAGGCTTCTCTGGAGGCATTACTTCCAGAATACCCAGGCTCTTATGTTTGTGGAAGATAGCAACGATCGTGAGAGAGTTCAGGAAGGAGCAGAAGAGCTGCAGAAAATGCTTCAGGAAGATGAGCTGCGAGATGCAGTGCTGCTGCCGGGACCAGCAGTTAGCGTAATGGCTATGTCGCTGGACTCCCATGCAGTTGACTGTGTTTCGTGTCCTGGACCGGTGGTTTAAACTCATGCTGGGCGCGCGTGCGTGCGTGCCCAAGATCCCGAGAGGAGAGTGGAGGAGAAGGGATTGTGGCATGGCCATCCCCCCTGGGGGGTGATTTCTCACTTTCTGTTTCTCTGTCTCTCTCTGTCTGTCTGGCAAGCGCACGTGTCCTATAGCAAAACAAAAACAAAAACAAAAAACAAAAAACCCTCTCCAAAAAAGAGAAAAAAAAAGAGAGATGCAGTGGTGCTGCTTTTTGCCCGTAAGCAGGATCTGCCAAGTGCTATGACCATCAGCGAAGTAACAGATTAGGCCTTCAGTCACTTCGAAACAGAACATGATATGCACAAGCCTCTTGTGCTACACAAGGAACTGGTCTGTGAGGGACTTGACTGGCTGTCAAAGGAACTTTCAAAACGTTAAGTGAAACGACTTCAAACCAAGGACACAATGACAGAATGGGTCTAGCCTGTTAGAACAAGATTAGCTTCCAGCTTGGTTATTAAATGGTATCGAGGACTATTTTGGGTAGAATATTCCAGAGTTTAAACTTATTTTGTTGCCAATTATTATTTAGCAGGTATGTTGCTAGTTAGCAATATGCTTGGCTTAAAAGAAATTCTTGGGGGTGGAAAGTGTCCTCATTTTACTTCCCTTAAGCCTTTATTTGGACAGAGCTATTCTGAGACTTTTAAATAAATGCCTTTTGAGTATTTTTTGAGACCACAACAAATAATGTTTTAGAGTTCTCTCCTTTCTACTTTATTGATGTCTTTTTCATTCCTGAGACAGTCTGCTGATTTAAAAATGTATCATTCCATTGTATTTATTTCTTTCCCTTGCCAATAAGATTTTCTAAAACTGCTTATATCAGCTAGGGAAATATGCTCCAAGACACTATTTAGCTCTCTTGAACAGAGAAACATATATTTTTTCCCCCTATTATTAAGTCCTGGCTTTTCCATCAGTCAGATTTTCCTTTTTCTTGGTATGGTTTGGATTTGATAGCTGCTTAGTTCTGAGTTGGTTG